CAAATTGTTGACCTGATGATGGGCTAATGTGAAAGTCAGGGTAATATTTTTCACTCCAAAACCAAACTGTTAACCTCACTTAGGCCACGCAAAGAATCGTCATCGGATTACAAAAATGATAAAGAGTTCATCTCTCTATGACCATTAAGATGTCCAAAATTGTGTAAGCCCTAATACTAACAAACACTCAGTGGCATCCAACTAAAGTTATACACAATTATTCCTGAGGTCGGTGAATGCAATCAATCACAAATTCAATCCAATAGTTTATGAGATATTTCACTCAAAACCAAGCCTGTGTAAACCTCCACTTATGGCACAAAGAATATCAGCGATACCAAAAATGAATAAAAGAATTCATTCTCTAATGACCAACTGAAATGTCCAAAAATTGTAAGCCTAATACTACAAACATAATGAAAATACCAGTTTAACAGTGTTGTATGTAGATTACTTGTAGTGACCCTGAAACACTCACACTTTTTTTTAATGCTTCCTCTCCACCATCTCTCCCTCTTACCTCCACTTTCCATTTCTATTACAGAAAGCATTTTCTGGGCTGCTCTCAATGCAAGAGTACTACGAGTACCATTTGCAGCAGGAAGCAACTATTTTTGAATGCGTGAGTACGTAACATCAGCCTGAAAAATCGATTTAAACCTGAATGTTTCCTTGAAAGAATCCAGATGTTTTTCAGTGAAAAAAAACAAGGGAAAAAAGATGACCCTTAAAAATAAGCTTCTCTCAGCATTTCTCAACAAATGCAGGTTTACAAAATGCTAATTATTTGTCAGGTGTTTGTGAAAAGGTCAGTTTTCCTCATTCACATGACAAAATAACCCTGACCCTTTCAAAATAGGTATTTTAAAAAAGCTTAGTTGGGTGCATATACGGGCATACTGTGGGCGGAGGGCTAAAATGAAAAGAAAAAGATGTGTTACTACTTTGCTGTACTCCTGGTCTTTGACTGTGGGAGGAAGCTTGTTTCACATAAAGTACCAGGGCAGCATCTTTTTGCCGTGGAGCACTAACCACTGAACTTCCACACCGCCCACCCTGCCTCATGTAAGCACCAAATCTAAGGCACGACCCACTGGAGAACAGGAAATGGGTAGTATAGCTCTGACCCCGACAGTAGAAAGTGGCCATAATCCTTTGAGCTCTGAACACCCTGTCATGTTGCTGGAGGGACAGCATGTCACTGTGGAACTGGACTACTTAGTGGACAGCCAGAAGAGGCGGTCAGTTCAATTAAATAGGCTACTGCACTAAAATTATCAAAAGGAACGGCTCTGACGCAGTTTCACCAATATAATCACTACAACGGTTTTGATATTGGGAAACATGGCGGGCCTCTGAGGCGGTTTGTACACATCAGAGGAGATGACAAAGATCAAAAACATCAGAGAGATAGCAGATCATGTGTATTCACATCCTTTGCTAAACAACAGGTTATTTCTTTCATCCTTATCTGTATGTGCAAGGGAGGGCTTTCCATCTGTTGGACCCGTCGTTTGCAGGGTTTAAATGTCTCTGTTCACAACACCGAGCAGCATCGTCAAATCTAACCAGTCATGCACCCGAACACCCATCAACATCATTAGGTTGTTCAAATGCTGCCCTCGCGCTATCAAATATACATGCTGCTAAATTATTAATAGGAAAAAATCCTGCTCATTCTTGATTGCTATGGTAACAGGTATACAAGGAAATAGCTAATGTTGGAGAGATGGGGAGGGGGTTGCAAAAACTGTGATACTTTTCTAAGTCGAGCAGCCTGAGCATCTTTCAGAGGCCAGGGGCTGCAGGTTGCAGCGTTAAATAAGCTTAAACTTGCAGAGAATAGGCAGCCCACTTTGATCTACTCATGAATACATTCTCCAAAGTGAACTTTAATCTAAACTGTCCTGTTCTCTTCCCAGGAGAGCCGAGAGGAACTACCAGGATTTAAAAGACGATCTTAGAGGTTGGTTGGTGTGTAACCAAGTGTGATAGTGTTCTACGAATTCGGAGGCATCCTGAATGAGAAATTACAGCTTATGCTTCTCAACTGTAACATTCAGTGTACGGTGCTCAGGTCTCATTCATTGCATTCCTGGTGTCAATAAAAACAGCAAGGCCATTATTTTCCTATTTTGGACCACATTTCGTTGTGTATGCATTTTTGCCTTCAATTCCCTCTTCCCACCTCCACTGAAAAATCCTAAACATAGTTGTGGGTGAGCAGATTGAAAGGCAAAACCTTTTCTTTTATAGCCGGCAGAAGCCACAGGGGGCTCAGTGTTTAGTTGGGGTAATGGTTCCATTTGGGTGTCTCTTTTTTTGCCCCAGGTGGTGGTTTTGGCTCAAACCTCCTGCTGTAAATCTCTCAAAGAGGACTATGGAAAGCCAATTATGTTGTTTATTATCTACCATCATAGGCTGTTTCGTATCAGTTCTCACTTTCCTGCCCTAAATGTTACTTACTGCAGAAAAAACACAGTTAGGGATAGTTACTGCCTGAGGCCAGTGTATGGATGTGTGAAACTCCCTAAGTGAGAAATAATACATATTATCAGTTATATATTATTAGGGCCATAACTAAAGATGGCTTTTGTTATCAATTAATCTACCAATTTTTTACTTGGTTCAATCATTCGGTCAACAGAATGTCAACAAAAGTTCACAAGTTGAGTAATTTGAGCTATGTAATGTCTTAAAATGTATTTTATTCAATTTAGTATGAGAGAAGAATATCAAAACTAGAAACGATTTAGGTTGAGAAGCTGGAACCAGTGTATTTTCTGCTTACAAATTACATAACCAACTATCGAGGTAGTTGCCAACTCTCTATTGACAAATCGAACACCCAGACAATACTTCAATCGATATAGACTTCCAATCCACTGCTGCTTTTGTTAGAGCTGCTTTTGTTAGAGCTGCCTGCACGTCAAAACTATAATTATCATGGATGTCCCGAACAGCAGGAGGAATCTAAGTAAAGTCATACCAATAAGGTCATATCAAATACCAGAGTGTGCTGTGTGCGTGTTCTTTTCTTTTAACGATACTGGAGGACTTAACAGCCATATGCAAGTTATGTAGCTCATTTGGGCCTCATCATAACATTAGTGCAGCACAAAGACATCTGGTACCAAAGGAGAGGGTCTATATATAGTCATAATAACAGAGGAGGAAAACGGC